TTTAAAAATTACAGACCGTAGTTTTAACTTTTTGAATGAACGTAATTTGTAACTTGGTCGTATTTATTTTTTCTAAAAATGTTTTTAAAATTTTTTTACAAATTGAACCCTCGATATTTCCAATGAAATTGCTATATTCAGAGGGATCTGTTATATTAGACAGAGAATTTTTAAAAAAATATTTTTAGAAAGAACTTATTCTTATTAACCCATATTTTTATTATTTCCTGTTTTTCTTACAAGTAAAAAGCATATTAATCAAAAGCGTAGTAACGCAACATTTGAAAGTGTTTTTTCCTTTTACAAAAACACGATTTTCAAGTCATTAATTTTATTTTTTAACCTTTCAAAATCATTTTTAACTTTATTTCAACAAAATGTTCATAAAACTTAAATGAAAAACAGCAAATTGCCCAAAAAGTAGAAGGATCACAAAAAAAAGAAGAAGAAATAAAATTATCATATCGAGAAACAGTAAAATTTAGACGTTTGTTCCCAATTAGTTTGGCAAAAGAATAAATCATTTTACATATTAGTTTCGCTAATTTTGTCAACTGTCATCAATAAAAAATTTGTTCTCCAGAGCGCAATTTACTTTACGGATTACATTTTATTATCCTTGTTCGTCAGAATCAAAGAAAGACGAGACTTTATAATAATATTACAGTTGTATCTGCACTCACGACTCGAAAATCATCCCTTGGCTCTAGGGATTTCTAGCACTTGTTGCAAACTAGTTCTCCAATGCAAAGTTGAACGTGATGATGTTGTTCTACATTTATTTATTCTCGCACTTGCTTGAGCTATGAATCGAAAAGACTTGCAGCTAATCTTTATTACTAAACAACTTCCGTCTAACTTACCAAGTCTTTTCGGGTTAAGAGATAGTTCTAACAATTTTACTAACAAAAAACATGTCAATGAAACTGTATAAATGTAATAACAGCATAGCAATTTGAAAAGCACAAGCGTTTCTGATTATTAACTAAGGTTGACTTAGTCTCTTGCTAAGTTTACAACAGCTGGCATTAAAAGGGAGTTTGATCATAATTCGATGCTAAATGGAATCTGCTGTACATGGACCCTGATTTGCATTTCTCAGCATAACATTTGAATAATCTAATCCTCACATATAAATAACAATGGTTTTGACTTTTTACACAAGTTAGAAAATAGTTGGAAAAAAATTCCCTTGAAGTTGCAGTATTAAATTTATTGTTTCTTTTTTACACAAAAATGAATATGAATACCACATAGAAAATTTTTATAATAAATTATTGGATAGTACGTATTATAAGAATCGATTCCGGTTAAAGTAGGGAATCCGTTCTGGGTGAAATTATTAACCGATTGTGAGATCAATGAAAATCGGGGTGCACAGGAAATCGCCCTCTTTGCCCGGGAAATGGCAAACTTCCACACTGGTAAACTGTTCTTATCCACGTAATATCCTTTTAAAAGTAGAGAACAGTGAAATCGTGCCTTGAGACGTCCCAAATTAATTCTTTGAATGACTTTTTAATTGTGTTAAATTTGTAGCCATTTATTGTTAAGGGGCTTAGAGACGATCAACTTGGTTGCGAACGTTCTTGTCAGCCGAAATTGATCAACTTCGCCAAAGACGAAACGAGATATTGTCAACCAAGTGGAAAAACATCATTGTGATCTTGTTCATACGACGAATAGTGCGATTTTGGTAGTTACTTTTTATTGGATTATTTGCAAAAAATGAATTACATTCGTTGATGTTTTTAATTGTAACTACACAAATTTCAAGAAACCAATTATTTCAAGAAATCCTACATCGAATGAAAAAGAAACCAGGCAAAAGTTTTCTACTTTTTTAATTGTGTAGAATCAAAACAGGGCCAAATCAGTATATAAATAAAGTATTTGCCATGCATTTTTCAAAACCGGTCTTTAAAAGCTTCCGATTTGATCCGCCACAACTCTGGGAATTCTTTCAATTTTTCAAAAAGATTCAACCCTAATTGGTATATTTGGTATACTAGTCGTAACGATAATCAGAAACTTAATCATTAAAAAAATAAAATGATTACAACAAAGAAAGTAAATGGCAATCTACAAATATGGACGGAAACAAACGGAGGTTGGTACAACTCCAAAACCACGTTCATAAAAATTTATGTCAACTTCCCACAGACGTATCAACATGACCTCCTACCTCAGACTCCATTCACCAAATATCAAACCGTTTTGATCCTACCTCAACCTTGACGGTAACATGAATCTCGACCATCAACCAGCCCACAAACGTATCAACACGACCTCCAACCTGAGGCTCCGCCCACCAAATATCAAACCGTTTTGATCCCACCTCAACCTTGACGGTAACATGCTCGACCATCAACCAGCCCACAGACGTATCAACATGACCTCCAACCTGAGGCTCCGCCCACCAAATATCAAACCGTTTTGATCCCACCTCAACCTTGACGGTAACATGCTCGACCATCAACCAGCCCACAGACGTATCAACGTGACCTCCAACCTGAGGCTCCGCCCACCAAATATCAAACCGTTTTGATCCTACCTCAACCTTGTTGACAACATGAATCTCGACCATCAACCAGCCCACAGACGTATCAACACGACCTCCAACCCCAGGCTACGCCCACCAAATAGCAAACCATTTTGATCCTATCTCAACCAAGAGGCTATTGAATCAATGTTTCGATCTAGTATATAGAATAAAAAAATCTTCGTATTGAATAACGAGAGTAAAACATACTTCAAAACTACATATTAATCCATTTATGTTTAGTACTGTAATTGACCATATTAATTATTTCAATTAATTATTCTTTTTATGTAAGGTCTTGGTTGAGATGAAAACGTTAGTGTCACGAGGGGGATTCGAACCCACGACCTTCGGTTTAACACGCCGCTGCTCTAACCACTATCGTGACAGAATCATAACCCTTGCTTTTTTTGTTTCAACCAAGACCTTAGATTACAAGAAGACTTATTTAAAATAATTAATACAGTCAATTGAGACTATTAAATGTATATACGGATTAATGAAATAATGTCATTGACAATATCAGTATTTCTTACATATTCTTATAAAAACTCTATATTTGACACGACAGCTCAAGTGATTAGAGGATCGGCATATTGAGCGGAAGGTCGTTAGTTCGAATCCCGCTCGTGTCACGAACTTTTTCATCTCAATCAAGACTTTACATAAAAAGGATAATTAATTGAAATACGTCAAAACCTTCCTGCACATCGTTCTCCGAAGTGAAAATATTTAAAGTCTTGTCTCGCCCTGCTAATATCCTTGAAGTTACATATCCATGTTCTTTTTAGACCAAAGTTACATTTTGTCACATCGTTTAAAAACTAAGTGAAAATTACAATACGATTTTTTTCTTATTAAAACCTAAGAAGTGGTAATACCAGCAAATTAGTACAGTAACATTTATTTAACGGTTGTATATTAATTTAATAAAAATTTTGTGCCTATGCACTTTAGTGAAATAAGTTATAACATACGAATTCATTTTCTTACACACAATCCAAAAATATATTCAAACTAGTATTATTTCAAAATTATTGTATTCTTATTATTATTTCTCTTTTTGCAACAATTTAAAAGAACGTGTAACTCTTTATTAATAATATACTGTTTCTAGGAATATCCTTAACTATTTTTGCTTCTAAATCTGTCAATTGAATGCATCTGGTAAAAAAAAATAGATTCGATTTTTCGTCTGCACCCCCATACACACGATTTTAGATTAACTTGTCACTTTCAAACAAATCACAAACAGGAATGTTTTTTAAAAAACGGCTAATGTACCCAATCTTTGTAAACGGTAAACTTTCAATACAACACAATGTGAATTATTTTTGAAACGAATTTGATTGTCAGCCTTGCTGAACGTTTTAGTATTTTTAGAAGGGAACTTGCTTAAACTTAGAACAACCTCTTACTTTAAAGCGCCCTCAGTGTTTCCCGCTTAATAAAAAATTGTACCTTATTAAAAATAAAACGGCGTTAATCAGAAAAAAATATTTTGGACAATAATTATATAAGGAAAACGTTTAGGAATTAATTAATGTAATATTCCTCGTTGAAGATGGCTTTAAGCGGAAACTCGATAGTAGACGAACCGAGTAAAGTAATCAAGTGTTCGATCAGACCAACATGTAACTTAATAAAAGATAATTTTTCTAAAGCACATGTAAACAAACAATACTTCAAAGACTGATCGACCTGAACGAAGGATCTGATAGATATTTTAAAAAAAATTCCAAAACTTAATTATCTTTATTTGCTTACTGGCTTGGTAGAGTAAGTAGTGAAACTGAAGTCCAAAGTTGAAATAGGGATATCTTTGTTTTGTTTTTGTTTTTTTTACGCCCATTCCCCACTTTCCCAACATTACGTTTATATCTAAGCATCTCAAATCGTAGTGGTAATAAAAGCGAAAGCAACTAAATCTCCCCCGAGTGCGAGAATGATTCAAAATGTAAAACAACTCGTAAAAGTAAAAACGGCGGTCTTTCTTCTGGGGGCTTTTCTTATTCGGATTAACTTGTATTTCGTCGTAAATTTACTTACCGAAGGCCAAATTAATTCGGGACCTTAATAAACAAGGTGAAATTGTTTATGGTCATGGGGTAGTCAGGTGGCTGGCTAAATCCGGTGATGAATAAATGTTTATTAATGGGCAGGCCTCCTTCCTCCCGTGACTCCCTTAAGGGTGGATTACTGTCTTCAGCCGTCGTAAATCTCCTTCCAAAAAATTACACTAGACGTATAATGATTATACGTAATTATGATTTGTCCACTGGTCCTTCTGAAAAAGAATGCACTTGGAGAAAGAGAATAAATAAATTCTAAATATTTGTGCCAACACTGTCTCTGTTTTTCTAAGAACTTTGAAGAGTCAATATTCATATTAATTAATTTAAATACTGGTTTTTTTATGTGTTATTAATATTATATTTTTTGTGCAATTTCCTTCCAGGGAGAAGAGCAAAAGGTTTAGTCATAACAGCCTGGATGATGTCTGTAATATTATCAATACCAATTGGGGTTCTGTACCACGAAAGACAGATACAGGGAAGGCTCCAGTGTTGGATTGATTTTTCTGAACCTTGGCAATGGCAGCTGTACATGACCCTTGTGGCAGTTTCTGTCTTTGTTGTACCTGCAATCATCATATCGATTTGTTATGCTTTCATAGTTTTCACAATCTGGTCTAAAGGGAAACAATATAGCCAAAGTGAGTCTCACTACTACTGTTTCTATAAGAAGAAATAATCACTTTTTATATATTTGCAATGTTTTTTGTGTGTTTTTCAGAAGCATGTGACGAAACAAGGAGAGCAAGCTCCAGGGGCATAATTCCTCAGGCCAAAGTTAAAACTGTCAAAATGACTTTCATAATTGTCCTTGGTAATTATTTTTTACAATTAAACTATTACTTCCAATTTATCAGGAATCATCAAGTATATCAGTTTTTTCTAATTCAATATCTATTTTATAAAATGCAATCTGTATTTTAGAAATATTATGACCAAGTATAATCTGAAAATACAAACAACTTAGGCTCATTCCTTTGTAGAACTACATCACATTTAAATATTTGTACTTTTTTTACATAGGGTTGTTCAAAAAATTATTATTATTAGTTATTTTTAAAAAGTTTGTGTATTGTTACCCATGACATTTTATAAAAACATTCACATAACAATGTCTGATTTATTTATTTATAAAAACTCAATATTTGACAAGATAGCTCAAGTGGTTAGGGTAGCGGCTTTTGAGCCGAAGGTCGTTGGTTCGAATCCGGCTCGTGTCATGAACTTTTTCATCTCAACCAAGAGCTTACATTAAAAAAAAAATTAATTGAAATATCTCAAAACTTTCCTGCACATCGTTCTCTGAAGTGAAAAGAGTTAGCCTTGCCTCACCCTGCTTATATCCTTGAAGTTACATACCCATGTTCTTTTTAGACCAAAGTTACATTTTGTGTTTTGTACATTTTGTCTTTCATAATTGTTCTTGGTAATTATTTTTTACAATTAAACTATTAATTCCAATTTATCAGGAATATTTCATCGAGTATCTCTGTTTCTTCTAATTCAACATTTATTTTATAAAATGTAAAATGTATTTTAGAAATATCATGACCAAGTATAATCTGAAAATTCAAACTTATAAAATAACTTATGCCTTATTCCTTTGTAGAACTACATCACATTTAAATATTTGTACTTTTTTACATAGGGTTGTTCTAAAAATGTTTTAAAATTATTATTATTATTAGTTATTAATTATTGTTATTAGTTATTTTTAAAAAGTTTGCTTATTTTTACCTATGACGTTTTATAAAAACATACACATAATAATGTCTGATTTATTTCCTTTACAGTGTTTGTATTATGTTGGAGCCCTTACATCGTATTCGACTTGCTTCAAGTATTTGGACACATTCCCAAGACCCAGACGAATATAGCAGTCGCTTCACTTATCCAGAGTCTGGCACCTCTCAATTCAGCGGCGAATCCATTTATTTACTGCTTGTTTAGTGCTTCAAAGACTACAAGATGAGCCCCACTTCCCATTTATCTTTAATCGGAATGGTTTCATTTCTCATCTATGACTGTGTTAAATATGTTTCAATTTTAGATGTAGGGGAATTGGATAAAATCAAAAGTGGCTATATTTTTTAAGTGTTAATTTACTCAGTGCAACTAGAAAAGAAAATAAACTCTATAAGCTCACTACATTAAGCATTACTTAACCCTAATTAATCCTTTTAAATATTAAAAATTAATTACTTAAAATAACGAGCTTAAAATCACATTTTTAATAATTGAATTGTAAGTATTTTTATTATAAAATTGATAATGTTGAGGTGTGTATTCCACAGTAACAATAACTATATACTTGTGCCAATCTATCATTTTGATGAACGGTTGTCAACATAATTTATGTTTCTGATTGTCATTCACACTAGGTTTATCTGATGTTAATATATTTTAAAATTTACAATAATATGGTTTTGAATATTTGAATGTTTTAGAGCCCTAGCATTGAAAAACTGTAATAATGTGACAGTCCATTTCATTAAAAATGCATATTTTTATTCAAATGTTTAGCGTTGAAGCCATTACATAAAAGGGAATATATAAAAAAAAATTGATTGCAAAAACGTCCTAGACTGTAAATAATTTAAGACATTTTACTGTGGTTATACTTTATGTGTCATGGTAAGTAAATGGAATGTGATAATAAATGGAAATTTCTTTAAATATTTTCTATATTAATTGGAAGTTATAGAAAATAATAGATGCATTTAACAAGTCAAGATATTTGGTTTTAATTAATTTTAAATAAATAAATATGCACCCAAAGAAAATGGTTCTGCAATTATTTATTATTATTTATTTTCAACAGCGTTATCCTGTATAATACTTGCCTTCTTATGTAAATTATGGAACCATTCAGAGTTAAATGCATCCATTATTATTTCTACCAACTTAGTCATAATGAAATAACAGTATTAAATGAATATGAGCTGTGGTTGTGTATGTGATGTCCATTTTTTTGAGTTATTTAGAAGTTTTGACATTAAAACTTCTTAAAAGCAAAACGCTTCACTACAACTTGTATATTGTTTGTTTAATAAAAACCCTTAATTAAATTATAACTGTAAATAATTATTCATAAGTCATCGTGTGTTATTTATTTATATTTAATAGTAATTAAATTCATAGTCAAAGGACCAATTGTTTTCTTAACACTTTTTCAATTTATTATTCATTGAAAAATTAACAAACATGGCTATAAAAATGATAAATAACATGATTATTAGCACATTGAACATAGTTTTGTTGTAGTATTTCTCTCAATGTAATAAATTAATTTTAGATTTGTAAATAGTTAAAGAATTATCATAGAGCAAATATTTTTTAATGTGACCATTCTTGTGTATATAGTTTTTGTCAATTCAATTCTATTCTATGAATTTAAGTAAAAGAATATTTTAACTCAAGAAATCCTCTAGGTATTATGATGAGTTGGAGTGAGATTTATTTTTTACGCATATTAATTTATCAATTAAATTTGCAATATTATTCTTTTGAACATTTACAAAATAATTCGTTATACAGAGCCCATTTTCAAAGAGAAGACATACAAATAGGATTTTCAAGGGAATTTTCATTTCTGCTATATTTAATAGGGCAAGGGTTCCTCAAGGAAGCATTCTTGGCCCAATCATTTTTTCAATGTACACTGCACTTCTACACACAAATTAACAACACATACCTACACTGATGACACAGTAATCCATAATTGGTCCATTCCATAAATACACAACTAATCATGAATTGAAAGCATCCTTCCCAAAATGGAAAATGAAACAAACCTTACCAAATACTTATAGATAAATTTGTCTATTTAGACACATAAATAGATCTGAGTTTTTGAAAAATTGTGTACATAATGTGTTGTTCCAAAAGTGTGTTTATGAAAATGCTACATTATTAAATGTGTATGTATGAGTATGCATGTTGTGTTTATTGTTGCAGTAGGCATCATTACCAATAATTATTTTGTTTCTTCTGAATCTCTAAAAGTTCAAATATTCAATTTAAATATATGATGACAATAAAAAAAAGATATTTGAATCAAAGTAATTACACAGGCTAAAATCTGGCATACCGATGAGGATTTCCAATTTTTATATTTCATAACAAAATTATATAATTTTGTATATATGATAATATTTAATAAATCTTTATGCTCAATTTTATTTAAGGCATTTTTTAATAAAACTATAAGTTGATTAGGTATTTTTAGAACAGTGCTGACATAAAGACACAATTATTTGTATTTTATATCCAATGTAAAATATAAATAATTATATCCTTTGATTTTATTTTATATGTAATATAATGGATCTCAGTGTTAAAAATTTAATATTTAAGATCAATTAGATATTGATGTTTAATCTTTAAAAACTGATGTTACATAATATTTCCAAAAATTTATTTTATATCCTACTTTTTTTAAATTTAAAGTTTTCAAAAAAGTATAAATATGTAAACTGAAAAAAGTAAATGTTAAAAAATATATATTGTTTCATTTGTTAATATAATTTATTTTATATTTTATGACTGTCTTTCATTACCGTCTGCCGTCACAAGGAGAAGGAAGTATGTCGCATGAAAAGACATGAGAGTTAAATAATTCTGCTGAATTTCAAAAATCAAATTTTGAAATTTGCCCACAAAAATAACATAAACATCAACAATTTGGCACATATTTATTATACAATATATACAAATAAAAACTCTTATTGAAATGTTGATAATCATGTTCAATGATTGTTACAATTATACATTAATTTCAATAGGATTGGTGGTATTTGATTTAGGCATTAACCATAGGAACTATATCACCATATTGACAATAAACGAAATAAACAGTAATAAATTAAAACTGCTTACAAAAGAAATTAAGTATATCATATATACGTAAGTAATAAAAACATTAGAAACTCATGTTTAAAATAATTTATCACAGAGTTTTTACAATCAAAAAATACTTTTATAAAGATTTTTTTAACTAACAAAGATTTAAAACTAGAAATAGAATGCAATGAAATCTATAAGGGCTACTTAAAATGACTAAATATGAATAAATGTTATAAATTATTTTTTCTAAAACTAACAGCATAAAAAAATTAAACGATAGCAATTTATATTACAATTAAATTTACTCGCAGAGAACATAAAACAAATAATATGATCTCCTAAAATGAAATGCAAAGTTTTTTACTCTCACACACTTCCAGATTCTTTGGAGTAGTCATTTACACAAAAATAGTTCGTTTATAAAACCATTTCAAATATGTATGATATACTCAGGCATGAGCTCGATAATGACATGTCTTTGCACTTTGGACACTTGCGCTGGACAACACCTGAGGGCACATTTTCCGGTCTTTTCCCCTCGGCTGAACAAAATCAGTTCTTCACTGTGATAAAACATAATGAGGTCTTCGATAGTTTCAAAAAACTGTAACAAAAAGAAAATTAGGATCTAGTGAAGAAGCAACGTTAAGAAGCGAATGATGGGTGTTTCGTCACCTTTTCATTAGGTTTTCTATTGCCTAGGGATATTTTCTGATCTTCTCGTTTTCTAATAGGAATATTGTATGCTCTATTATTGTACCACAATGTCAAAGTCAATGCATGCTTTGAAGATGGTCTTACAAGGAAACACCCATTTCCACCTATAATTTTTGTAATATGAAAAACACAATTAAACCTTACATTTTCATTTTAAAAATACCTGAAAAAACCATTTCTTGAGCTTTCCTTCTATCAGTCTTGTGGTACCAAGGTTTGTCCTCAATTTGATTCGCTGGTGAACATTATATGAAATTTTAGTACAGATTTTTTTTTTTTTTTTTTTTTAATATTTGTCAGTTAGTGTTGTTAGCCAGAGATCTACTTGAGTAATCATATTAAAGACTCTATAAAATCAAAAATATAGGATAATTATTTGAATTAATTTTATTAACAAAAGTTAAATAGAAGAAATGTGCTTGAAATTTCATTGCATGAATTAATAAACAAGAAAAATTATTTTAGGCAGCAGATTTAAACCAAAAGAAAAATGTTCTACTAACATTTAAAACAACTTGTCTATGAGAAATTAGATTGATTTGAAATATAACAGTCTATATGTGCATACACCAAACTACTGCAAAATAAATATAGAAATTAAAGCATAAGGTAATTAAAAAGAAATAACATCTTAACTATGATAAATTTGCACAGTTTTGAAATTTTTGTTTTTGTTCAACTTATTAACCAGAAACTCATTTAACAAATTTGGAGATAAGGAACAATAAATTGATGTTCAAATCTCAAACATATAGCATATATTTAATGGTAAAAAACAACACGATGACATGCAACGAAAGCATCCACTTGACCCAAATTGAGTACAGAAAAAATGAGAAATCTGAAAGCGGTTAACAAGCAATGGCTTAATGACAAGAAACTTTAGAAATGATTAATCATTTTAAGATAATCTGTAAACAAGAAATTTGTAAAAGAATCATTTCAGTATTTTGACACTTTTACCTTTAAATTAATATGGTGAAATCTGTTTAATAATGATGAATCATTACAAATAAATAAATTATTCATATTGTTTTACGATCCACAGTTTTTGTTTTTGTATTTTATTTAGATGGTTGATGAAGATGAAGTTCCGTAGCATAAATATTTTTGTATTTTCTATGCTCAATTGGCCACCTGATAAGCTTCAACTATGTGCAAGGCTAGATAAAAGAAAAAACTTACTTACATTTATAACTTACTTTCTATCCAGCCAAGCCCATAATTGAAGTGTATATCATACATCCGTCGTATGGAGACTTAAATTGGGTCAGCTGAGGATAGGCCAGTGAGCTCAAAATGTACAAAATAAACAAACTTTACACCATAGAATACTTGGGATTCCTTTTCTTAACCAATCATCTAAATAAAATACATTATAAAGAATAAGTAAATAGTGTTAGCACAAAATATTATTTTTTGCCAATTTTGGTGAGGGTTCATTCTAGATTTATTACCATTCTATTAGACTATTTTTGACTGATGTAAACAAATTGTTGTTTAGACTTAACCAGTTAGACAATGTAAAACTCAGGGACTGATAGGTCTCTGGCATCCGAGAAAACATCTACACAACATAGCTATATTCAATGATGACCCGTTTGTAGGTTATGTCGTGAGGAGAAAGAAACTACCACTCATATTATCTTCAAATGTGAAGCAACTGTTCAATTGGGACATAATCCTAAAACCATAGGGGAAAAAGACGTGTAAATGATAGTCAACGGCCTACAAAGAAGGATATAGTCAATTGAGCTGAGTAACTAGGAAAAGTATAGCAAGTCAAAAGGTTGAAGTCCTTTGGGAATATCAAATCTTCACGTTCTAGTGTACTTCTTATCCTGAAAATATTAGATAAGAAGAAAGATCAATCCTTCCAAAAGAAAAAAAGAAGATTGTAGCAAACAACCCACATTTCGGATTTCCTATTCGAATAGGACGATATTTGAAGTTGAATCATTAAGATCATGCTTCTATTTTGTAAGTAATGCACTTGGGAGCGATACATGTGTGGGAATGGTTCCTTTTCATGTAAGTCGTCCTTTTTTTTAATTTTTTATTTTCATCTGAAATCGGTAGTCGGAAATTATGGCTGCCACATGTGTTTTCGAGGGGGGAACCATCCAACTCTTTTCGAGAGATCTGTACAACGAATAATTCCAGTCTCAATGATATTCGATAACAGGTATTATTTAAAAATTATTATTGTCAACAGGAAACAAAAAAGGAATATTTACGTGAATCCGGGAATGTGCTATTGCTGATACCGAATATCGTCACTAACAGAATTTTCAAATTGTAAGTTGGATTTCGTCCTAAATCATTCAATAACGGGTAAAATTGAACATACTTTTAATGTAAACTAAAAAGGAAACTTCTCAGATTACTTTTTAATCAATTTGGTCAAGTTTCGATCAGATCTGTCGTCGAAGAAATGGCGATCATGTTATTAAGCCCCGGTTAAAGATGAATAACAGACCGGCAAAGGAAACTTGAATAACTCAGCGAATTCATTGTTTTCGTTTAATTTTAAAAAAGCGCATTGGGTCTTGTCTTCCATTAGAGACAAACGTGTAATGGACAAAAGAGATTGAACACGAATAAAAGAGGGCCACTGCAATCGTAGAAAACCTGGGTGCTTAAGTTATCAGAAATGTAGGTGCTTTGCTTAATCATTGGTTGATTATCATTGTTTAGGGTGGATGTTGGACACATTGTTAGAATATCCACCCGAAGTAAGTATCTGCGCTGAAGTGGGCTCGAGTGAAAGAATCGAAAACTCAATGAAAATAAAGTAGAATTATCACAACGACTTGGCAGTTCATTATTCAAGAACATATACTTTCAAGAAAATTTTTTACACAAGCCAAAAAAAGGAAAGGATTTGAAAGTGAGAAATTCGCTTTTTGCTCTCGAGTTGCGATAGAGTGCCTGATGTAGGAATTTCTCGTGGTTTTCGTGGTCTTCAAGAGGTAAACAATGATAATCAAATAATGATTAAACAAACCTATATTTCTGATAACTTGCACATGCAGTTCTGATAACTTAAGCACCCAGGTTTTCTACGATTGCAGACGCCCTTTTCAGCTCAGAGAATTCAGCCCCTTTCATCCTTTACGCGGTTGTATTTTATTATTATACTATTTTCTTTTTATTAAACGAAATAATGAATTCGCTGTTATGTGCACCGCTCATTAAAAAAAACCGACCACTTGGTTTTTGTACGAGAAAATGGCCAAATTGGATATGCATATTTTCCCAGCCTTTTAAGTCACAGATCTGCTCAAGGTCTCATTTTTTTGAAAATTTAACCTGAACAAGATAGGTTTTTAAATGTTTTCCTAGATTCAGTCATTCAACAGTAAATTCAAAAATTCGGGAAAATTTTTACAATTTTTCGGAAAATTTCAAATTGGGCTGTGGAGCCAGGGAATCGTCCTTGTGGGGCGCCCTGCAGCAATCGAAAGGAAATTTTAATAAGCTTTCAATTGGTCACCGTCCACTTTGCGCGATTTCTCAACCGTTTTCGAGTTATTCGCGACTTTTGGGAAAAAACCGACCACTCTGTCTCTCCCGATTTTCAAGAATGCATAAATTTTGAACCGTCATATTTCCGCAAATTTTACGCTCTACAACTTTTGTTCCGAGGTCTTTTTCAAAACACTGAACAGGAAAGCGACAATTCTTACGTTTTCTTACTTTGACCTTTTGGGATGCGGTTTGGTTCTGCTGTCGACAACCGCTTGTTTACTTCATCATGGAAATTCAATTTTTCCTTCCCATTTCACAGGAAACAAAAAAGCCAACAAGTTACGTTTATGCTCAAACGTCAAACCTGTCCACAGTGCACATTTACAACAAAATAATATCCCATCGAACCAAGTCCGCTACCTTGGGCTTTATTTAGATAGTAGACTTACTTGGAACCCACGATTAAAATGGCAAGAACTTAACAAAAGATATGGACTACTCAGACACCTACTTGGACCAAAATCAAAACTAAGCATACATAACAAACTAACCGCTTACAAAACACTCATCAGACCTATTTGGACCTACGGAGTCGAGCTGTGGGGCTCGGCCAAATCATATCCAACGAATTCAGTCTTTTCAATCTAAAGTTCTCCGCCGTATCCCCTTCCTTCTATATCATCAACCAAACGATCCGTAAAGATCTTAAAATCCCTTTCGTGAAAGATCTTATCCGAACACGCTTCTTCACTTTCCACTCTAAACCTTCCCTCCACCCTAACTCACTAGCCCTAACTACCTCAACATCAACCTCAACATCTCACCCTTACCCATTTCACAGGTGTTGTGGCAGTTTGGATTCGTATAACATATTAAAACAACAGACAGGTTTATGTATGGTAAAATCGGGAGAGAGAGAGAGAGAGAGAGAGAGAGAGAGAGAGAGAGAGAGAGAGAGAGAGAGGAGAGAGTGTGTGAGAGAGAGAGTGATTGGTTTTTTTCCCATGAGCACCTAAAAAACCATGTTTTTTGCTCTAAAGTTGTGAATAACTCGAAAACGGTTGAGAAATCGCGCAAAGTGGACGGTGACCAATTGAAAGCTTATTAAAATTTCCTTTCGATTGCTACAGGGCGCTCCACAAGGACGATTTCCTGGCTCCACAGCCCAATTTGAAGTCTTCGTAAAAATTGTAAAAATTAACATGTTCCCGAATTTGTGAATTTACTGATGAATGACCGAAACTAGGAAAACATTTAAAAACCTATCTTGTTCAGGCTAAATGTTTTTGTTTTTTAATTCTCTTTCTTCCAGTAGCGTGTAGCGAACAAAAGAGGCTGAATACACTGACAATAAACTGCTAGGTGGCGTCGGTGGCAGCAACGGTTTAGGCGGTGACACGGCGCTCATCACTGTAAGGTAAAGGTCCCGGGTTCGAATCCAGCGGCCCTGCATTCGAACCCGACGTACTTACAAATGGGCTTTTTTTTCACCCCGAGGGTTGATATAACCCTGTTGCGAACCCTCGTAAAAGAAATAAATAAATAAATTAATTAATTTAAAAAAAATAAACAGCTTCCGTTCTACACGGGCGTTTGCAGTCGAAGAAAATCTGGGTTCTTAAGTTATCAGAAATGTAGGTGCTTTATTTAACCATTACTTGATTATCATTGTTTACTGCTTGAAGATCGCGAAAGCCACGAGAAATTCCTACATCATGCACTTCATCGCAACTCGAGAGCAAAAAGCGAATTTACTCATTTTCA